TTGGACGCCTTCCCTTTGATTACGGCGATCTCGACTGACAACAGCTGCGATACTGACGTGACTAGTCGCTTCAACGTCAATCGCCAGTTAGAAGAACCTAAGAGGGCAAGGTTGTCTCCTCTCATCCTTTAGTGACTGCTTTGCCACTACTTCGAAAGTCCGGCAGACTCCTCTAATGAAGCACGGAATTATCACTGAGCCCAACGACTAACCTGTGCGCCAACATGCTTACCGCCTGTCGCAGAAGGAGAAGGATGCTATCCGTTATCAAGTGAAACGAATGCTCGACGACGACGTAATTCAACGATCGACTAGTCCTTGGTCACCAGTTGTTCTGGTTAAAAAGAAAGATGGTTCATTACGATTCTACGTCAACTACCACAAACTGAACAAGATAACGAAAAAGACGTATATCCTCTACCTCGTATTGATGACTCCTTGGATCGCCTGCGACATGCCCGTTATTTCTCTTCCATGGATCTACGTAGCGGATATCGGCAGATTGAAGTAGACGGACGGGACCGAGAAAAAACGGCGCTTATTACAACTGACGGTCTTCATGAATTTAAATTTTTTAAATTTCTCCCTTTTGGCCTGTGCCCCACTCCAGCCACATTCCAACAAATGATGAACCCAGTTTTATGTGACCTGAAGTGGCACTCCTGTTTAATGTATTTAGACGACGTAGTCGTTTTTTCTACGACTTTTGAACAGCACATTGAGCGGCTTGAGGCGGTTCTTCCGGCTATTCGCACTGCCGGCCTCTCTCTGAAACTGGAAAAGTGTTATTTTGGATATGAGGAACTCAAATTCCTTGGCCACATTGTCAGGAGCAGTGGTGTAGCAGAAAAAAATGCTATAGCTAGGGTTCCTAGCAACTCCTCAAGTCTAAAACATCACTTAAACATCTAATAAATATTTATATTCATTACTATACATGCCATATGCTAGTATGCACGTAAATTATGGAGGGCGGAGGGGGAAGAGTCAAGGCAGTACGAACTTTTCTTGTGTTCAGACTGGGGAGGACAGCCATTGCAAGTGTCCCCCTTGAAATTTAGCTTTAGCACGTCATATAATTCAGTTAACAGTTAAGTATAGCACAATTAACTTTTAAAATGCTTTTGAACTTTTACTGCGTACCTGTGTTAAATGCCCCTCAGCTGTGTGAACTATGGAAATCGAAAAAAGCTGAAAAAAAGACTGAATAGAACAAATGCTATTTCTCGAGCCCGGACCACATGCTCGTTTTTTTTTTATATTTTATTTGAAAGCATGGTTTAATTCTTATATAAACATACATCCCATATTAAAAATACAACTTGGACATCATGGCCTGATATGTGTCACCCGAGACTTTTCTGGATTTACGCCACCGAGTAGCATACTAAGATGATAGTGTATACAGCTTGCTTTTGGTGTCCCTTAAGCTCACGAGATGGTTCCATGGTTTAACTTTATTATTTTTAGTTTGCCAACACCATTTGGAGCAAGTTTGGAGCAGTTACTAGCAAATATTGCACTTTGGAGCAACACTTCCATCACTGCCTTCAATGAGTGGTGGCACGCTGATGGGTTGTGCTCCAGTACTGCTTCAAGGTACTGTTGCTTCCATCGCACCTACAGAAGTCAAGCAAAGCGTCAAGTCAAGCAAAAGCCAAGAAAATACGCCCTTGACTAAATTCTGTATGCGCGACCCAGTGCCTATATATACAAGGTGGCCAGTGAACGGTTGTGGGGGAGGGCAGCGACAGTTTTGCGGGTGTCTTCCTGGGCTGGCACGATACGCGAGCACGGACAGCGGGGTTGTGGACGGCGCTGCCGACGCCGGGTCAGCGACATCGTGCGACTAAGAAATGCTCCACATTTAAAAATGGTCAGCTTATTCTCAAGCGACTGAATTAAGTGGCACGTACACACCGCCAGACAGGCAAAGGAGACCACCCACCGTGACCCCGCCGACAGAATAGGGGTGTCATTTTTTTATGCTGTAGTAAGCTACTTTGCATAGTTCACAGTTGATGCAAAGAAAATGCTCTGCTGTCACATATAGCACGCAACGTAACAGACAAAGTGGGCACCAGTTATTGAGCCTCAACACATGAGCCCACGTCTCGAACAGCTCTTTGCACCCCAGTGCTCAGAACAGATGCTTTTTTTTTGTCGACGACCTTAACCAGCAAGAATTCGCAAATAGAAAATTTTAGGAACAAATCAAATACGAATGAAATAGCATAATAACTACGAATCAACTACCAATTGCATATTATTCAATAGTAAGAGAACAATTCTTAGAACAGTAGCCTCAACAATATTTAATGTGAAATAGACAATCAGAAACATGAACAAAAAGATCAATACGACTAATTTTAACCACTAAGAATGCCATTATATTAGCTTAACTGCGGTAAACTCGCATCACTAGTAACAGCTAATGAAAAATTTTAAGTGTTTGCTGAAATGGGGTATTTTCATAGAGATGTCTCGCAACCTTTTAAATAAAAGTGAGGCATAACAAACAATATGTTTGCTGAATCAACGTAACGAATGTCATCCATTGATATTATCGCTTGGTGACCATTAAGTTTTAACCATAAGCACCATCATTTGTTATCAGTGCGGAATCAATAGTTTCTTAACAGATTGCTTGGGTGCATGCATCTTGATAATCCACCATTTAAAATAAATAAGTGCTGTCTCGTCCTAATATGCGTTCCTCCTCCGAGATTTTTCCGCCATTGCTCTATATTTGAAAAACTAGTCGGCATTTCGAATATGTGTCATTCAATTCGTTATTTAAGTTTTTAGAACTTTTAAGGACCCCTACTATCTCCCAAAGTTGCAGTCAGAAATGATGCAAGAACGTTAAGCTTTTTTTTTTATTATTTTGTAAGGCATCGTCCTTACTTATAAAAAAAAAGCACGGCCCACATGCAATAAAAACGAGGTGAACACCAAAAAAAATAACGGGGGGGGGGGGGGGGGGGAGGGTTGATGCTGCACTGTAGAGCACTAGGCTTCCTTTGGGTAATTTGTGAAGTCGGCGGTTGTCCCATGGAGCGCCCCTAGCGGCATTTCCTCCCAATTCTAGCCACCCTAACATCAAGCTTGTTCGCGCGAGCGAAACGCGGCATATGCTTTCAGTTAAGTTCCTAACAAGCCACAGTGGCGTTTTGAGGCTAGGAAATTCACATTCACCACGAAGCGTTCGTAGCTACAGCAATACATTTTTGTCTGAAGTTCCATCGTACCACCGGTGGGTATCCGCTGCGGACGGCGTTATTACTTTATCAGGACGATCACGTCTTGCGAGCCTATGATGGGTGCCTAGAATATGCTAAGCATATTCTAGGCTCTAAAGTTAAGGTCGCGCAAACTGCATGTGGCAGTCCTGCATTTCTCGCTGAAATTAGTGCACCAGAAAAATTTTTTAGCCTGGCTGGGCATTTTAGTACAGCATGGCATAATTTCAGCAAATTTTACAGCTTTGGCACAGCTCGGCGCAACAATCGGGAATAGTGCCGAATTGGCGCAGCCGTTGCACCCATGCACAGTGAACTTTCTCATGTATTTTTAGCATGACGACCTCTATGCTTAATTTACGACTGAATCTCCTCATAGTCACTTTTTGCCAATTTCGCAAGGATTTTTGTGAGGAAATGTTTGCTTACAGAAGTTTAAAATATTTTTAGCAGATAGTATGTCAACAGCTAAAAAAGCAAAAAAAGTCTTGCGGCTCAACCATTGCTGTAGTTTTCACGAACACTGCTTGAATTTCCGTTTTCTTTCTTCTTTACTTAGCCTATTTAGGCCACAGAAGAAATATACGACTTTAGCTCTTACGCCACATAAACAATGCCAACATAATGCTTTAAAACTGAACGAGTCACCATACTAAGTTTGAAGGTTGGATATGCACAATTTATTCCCACCTAACTCCTCCCTTTTGCCGGCACATTTAAAGGTTGATGACGTGAGCCCACAATTTTTTCTAACAAAAGCACTTTACTTAAACCACTCTCAGATAGCTACCTTTCTGCTCAATTGTTTTTCAGCAGAATAACTGGTAGTAGAATTTCAAAAAGGAACGTTTCACTTTGTTTACACCAACTTTCCATGTCTGTACAGGCATAATAGACTACTTCTCGTGATTGCTGAAGACCGCGAATTCAGGGGTGTAACAGCCGAAAAAAAATTTTGAACAACTTTGGAAGCAGAAAAATGTTACTTTTGGAGCACTGAAATCCAAATTTGGGGCAGATTATAGGGAAACAAATAAATTTTTTATATCATGAAAAACCAGGCTTGGGGCAGTATCAAAAAGAATGTTATGTACGAACCAGTCAACCTCCCCTAAATTGTACAGAGTGAATATGAGTACTGCTATTTTAATAAACTATATTGAACCACTCCACTCAGCAAACAATGATAAAGTCCACATTAACATTTTCCACGCCAGTCAAGTCCTTTGACAGACTGAGGCTTCAAATGTGGATCTCTCAAGCTCAACTCCCTACCATCCGTGGTCTCAACAGTGACATTAGGCCCAGTTTGGCTTGGCTCGGGTTGCGTCTTAAGCAGGTGCACCGCGATGTCATTTTGAATGGGAGAACGTCAAGTAGCTTCATTTTTGAAAGTCTGAGCACGCTCTTTGGTGCAGGTTTGGCGCAGACTCGCCAAATTTCGAGGAAATGTAGCAGCGTGTAGAAGCCAGAGCAATTCGGCGTCGTTGGCCGCAATTGGCACGCCTGTATCCCTCGATTGAGGATGCAAACTACTGGTGGCCAACGTGGACTTTATTTACTTGCCGAAATTAGTGCACGGGCATTTTGGCTCAGCGTGGCGCAACTTGGGCAGATTTCATAGTGCTGGTGCAATTCAACGCAAACATTAGGACCTGTATAGAATTGAAGCGATTGGTGCAGCTGTTCCACCCCTGCAAATTATTGGCTGGCCATGTCATGGCCCTTTTACACCACCGTCATGTTGCAACGGCTCACCTTGGGTCCCATGGTGACGGCCACTGCATCGGCCAGCACGTCTACCCCCTGGAGCATGAGGGCACGCACGTCTGGGCCGAAGCGAATGTCCTTGGCATAGTGGCGGCGTAGGCTTTGGCACAGGGCCCCACGAATGGGTGGCACAACACGGCACAGGTGGTACATGGTGCACTGGGACATCAATCACACACCGGCTTTCATCACAAAGCCACACATTCCGTATTCTGATACACTAAATCATCTTGTGAGCCAGACAATGTACCTGTTTTTTTCGTTACGTTAAAAATATTTCGTACTTTGTCATTGTGCTCTTTTACTGTTGAGTGCGAAAATACCCAGAGATTAGAAGAGGGCTCGTGTTGTTCCAGTCTTTAAGACGTGATGATTGATATGTGGGGTTTAACATCCCAAAACCACCATATGATTACGAGACGCCGTAGTGGAGGGCTCCGGAAATTTCGACCTGGGGTTCTTAGAAGAGCCACTCACCAGGTTTGACAATTTTGAGCTGACAAGCGCAATGCGTAGACAAGGCGTTCATGATCACGTCTGCCAAAATTTCCAACGCTACGCGCCTTGGAAATGGGTCGAATTTCAAGATGAGCGCTGCTCCCCCTCCCCTCTGCCGGCGCACGCCTAGAGAATGAGGGCATGACGTGGGCGTATGAATGGCCCTACGTACACGACAATGCAATGACGTTGGTCCCCTACGTAGAGAACTGCTCCGATGTCAACAGTATACCACGAGACATGGCAAAAATGATTTAGCACAATATGTGTAGTTTATGTATTTGTAGCTTTAAAAGATTAATAAAACTGGAAATAAATAATGAGATAAATAAATAAAAAGTGCACGTTTTTCGTTCTTTTTTTTTCTTCGTGAAATGCTACGAGATGCGGGGCTAATGTGCCAGCGTTTCGCATGCGTTCGCGTCCCCGCGGTCAGCGCATTGAGCAGACGACCACCGTGGATTGCTCCTACCCGTTCGTTCACTCAAGGTGCTCATCTACTCTACCACGTCTAAGCCAACGTTTCCAAACCATCTCGCAGAAACAAGCAGAAGACCACAAAATAACGCTGGTCAACAAAGCAACGCTGCTCGCGTGCTCGGGGGTTGGACTTGCTTGGGCGCGTCATGCGCACCTCACCTCATGGTCGGATGCTGGAGAGGGTGGGGAAGAGATTTAGCTTGCGAAGGCTACAGGGAGGAGCGGCAAGGGTTTTGAGCTTGCCTTTTCTCATTCTCGTTTCGTGCCACTTCAAAAAAACCTGTTTTCACCGCTCGTGATGAACCGATCCGAAAAATTTTTGTGGCGAAATGTTCCTCATCGGACACCCAACAACTTCCACTGTCTAACTAAAATTCGGTATGCGGCCTGGTGAGTGGCCCTTTAACGTGAACCCAAATCTGAGCACACACACCTACAGCTTTTTTTGCCTCAGTCTTTAAAAAAGGCAATCATTTACTCGTAGGTGGCTACCATTTCATCTCATTAACACTGCTAATTCGTAAAATGCTTGTACATGTAATTAAGTCTTGTGAAATTCCTCGAACGAAACTCTATACTGACTAACTTTCAGTATGGCTTCAGAAAAGGATATTCCACCTTAACTGACTTAAATCTTAGTGGCTCATTAATTTGCAGAAACTCTGAATAAAAATGTCAAAAGTCAAAATGGACGACATATTCCTTGATTTTAATAAGGCATTTGATTGATATGTGGGGTTTAACGTCCCAAAACTGCCATATGATTATGAGAAGCGCCGTAGTCGAGGGCTCCGGAAGTTTCGACCACCTGGGGTTCTTTAACGTGCACCCAAATCTGAGCACACGGGCGCACAACATTTCCGCCTCCATCAAAAAAGCAGCCGCAGCAGCCGGGATTGGAACCCGCGACCTGCGGGTCAGCAGCCGAGTACCTTAGCCACTAGACCACCGCGGCGGGGCTACGTTATCCATCACAACCTAATTGCAGAATTCAGGGGCATCAATCTACCAGATGCATTCATTGCCAGGATTCAGCACTATTCAAAAGAATGTTCACAGTTTCTTTCAGCAGATGGGAACGATTTGAGCTCTCTCCAGTCACATCAGGCGTGCCACACAGTATTGTTCTGGGGCTGCTATTATTTTGACTTTATGTAACTGTACACACAGTACTGCCAGAAACTCAACTCAGACTGTTTGCAGATGATTGTGTGCTCTTTCATGTGAAGAGGAATAACTTTTAAGGACTCCTAAGCAACTTTTGAAGGTACGAAACAAATTATTTCGCATTTTTCTTTTTTGCAATCCATTATGTCTGCATGCTGTTAAAGGAGCACTGACACAAACTTTGGCCTTAAGATATTCTGCTGCAATATGTTGCTGGGGGCCTGTTAGTCCAAACATGGGCACATCATTTGTCGCAGAGTGTGACAGATGATTACAAGCTTCGGATCTATACTCGGACTGGTCAGTACTGAAAAGTTTTCATTACTCACCAGTTCGAGTATTGATTTGAAAGAGCTCCAAAAGCAAGCCTTGAATCACTTGAATCAGGCGGAGTAGCAAAGAGTGGCAGATTACTGAATTGTTATGCACTGGTTCCAGCCCCGGCCTTCAACCACTGTGCTTGGAATTAAACTGGTATGTGCCCTTAGGCATCTGGATGATGCTACACACATGAAAAAAGAAACCAAAGAAAACTTCGTCATTCTGAACAAAAGCCAATAAATTAGTGAGAAACCCTTATGGGAGGTTTTTGTGAGGAGAAATCAATAGAAAATCTGGAAATTACAGGCTGCTAAAGCATTTTCAGGACATATTTTCGGCACTCTAAGGTTTCTTCCGAGAAGTTGAAGATGTCGAAGTAAAACCTCGAGACAAATTTTGGGGAGTTTGGTGGTTTGCTGGGCGGGTATGTAGATGCCTGTGCATGACAATACGCCGCTCTGAAAAGGACTTCGCCGTCGTAGCACCAAGCTATGGTCTCAGGCTCAAGGAAAAAAAAAAAAAAAAACTTTCTCTAAGTCACTGAAATTACTTTTAGGCATATTCTTCCAGCACTCTTCAAAAAGAAAAAAAATGCTGGACGTTTGGGTGAATGCTTTACCGAGGCCAACTTGCTGCAAGGTTACGTCACCCCATACAGTAGAGAAACAAAGGGGCGGTAACGGAAGTGACGCACTGCCAGATGACCTTGAGCATAAAACGACTGCCACATCCCTAAACCTTCTCATCAATTACTCGTTTGAAGTCCATATGAAGCAACATAGAAAACAATACTGCTTATATTCTTGTACTGTCGGCCACGAAACTGCATTGCTGCTTCGCCTACTGTGGCGCAGCATGGTGTTAAGGCTATCATTTGTGGCCTGGGCAATTAAATATGGCACGTTTAGACAATGCAGCACTGCTGGATCACATCTAGGAAGCCGTGGCCGATAACCTCAACACCATCCTGTGTCACAGTAAGAGATGCAGCAATGCAGTTTTCTGTAAAGCCAAGGGACCCTGAAAAAATTCTGACGATTTGGTACAAGCACATTGGGCTGATTGACCAAGTTTTAAAGGCCAATTCCAGTGGTTTTTTTTTAAGTAAATGAATAGCAATAAAATTTGCTGGGAACGTTCCTTTACACATTCCCGTCATTTATGCCAAGCTGCAGGCTTGAGCAATGCGCTGATTGTTCTGAAACAATTTTAGAGATGGCCTCAAAACGCTCACCTGGCCTGCCAGAATTACTGGTGAAATGGGGTTTATTGGCGTACTTGCACAGCAGGTCCATTGATGCGGAAAGCGGGCGGCAGCAACCAACCCAGGAATCGCAGCGCTCGGGGTAACAGCTCAGGTTCAGCTCATTTTGCTAATGGCGTGACCCACTGCGGCACATAATCTTCTTCCTCTTTACAATATCCTGGCGACGAAGACAAGCCATCTTGCCAAGTCAAGGTGACGAGAGTAGGAGTGGGTCGTGATAGGGCTTGAGACGACTCGCGTGGACAGTCTCACGACCAAGGCATCGCCAGTCTGTAGATGGCGTGACTGGCTCGATCACGTATGTGACATAAGATCGACGTTCGACGACGTGATAAGGACCGTGAAACTTGGGGGCAAACTTAGAAGAAAGACCTGGGGAGTGCAAGGGCAGTCGGAGCCAGACGAGCGAGCCCACGGCAAAAGTCTCGAATTGCTGGTCGCCGTCGTGGCGGTATTTTTTCGAGTGCTTGCTTGTTCGAGGTGAATGACCGGGCCGACTGACGACACTCTTCAGCGTGGTGCGCAATTTCAGAGAGAGGGTTGAATTCCGAGACATCGAGACGATACGGCAAAATGGTGTCAAAGGTGGAGCATGGCTTACGCCCATATAGAAGAAAGAAAGGCGAGAAGCCTGTGGTTCACTGCATCGCGGTATTGTATGCATAAGTCACAAATGGGAGAATGATATCCCAGTTCGATTGGTCGCAATCGACATACATGGTGAGCATGTCTCCTAGCGTTCGGTTGAAGCGCTCAGTTTGACCGTTGGTCTGCGGATGGTAGGCTGTAGAGGTGCGGTGCACCGTGCGGCATGCCCGAAGGAGTTGTACAACTTCAGATGAAAAGACAAGCCCTCTATCACTTAGTAGTTCACATGGTGCCCCGTGACGCAGTATGAAGCATCACAAGACGAAATTGGCTACGTCACGTGCACCAGCCGTAGGTAGTGGAGCTGTTTCACCATACCTCGTCAGATGGTCGACGGTGACAATGATCCATCGATTTCCAGCGGCAGTGTGCAGAAGGGGACCATATAAATCGATTCCAACGCGGTCGGAAGGGCGTGCCGGACACGGTCGAGACTGTAATAATCCCAGTGAATGGGCCACTGTCCTTCGTCGTTGGCATAATGAGCAGGACCGAATGTATTTTTGTAGAAAGGTGTACACACCGCACCAGTAGTAAAGCAGGCCGATCCGGTGATATGTTTTTAACACACCTGCGTGAGCATGTTGTGGGTCGGCATGAAAATACGCACAGACATCAGATCGCATGTGGCGCGGTATAACGAAGAGCCATTTACGACCACCCGCGTGGCAGTTTCTGTGGTATAGTTGCGCGTCCCGTATTTCAAAATGTGTAGCTTGGCGGCGAAAGGCGCATGGCTAGCAAACGTTGAGTCTGAGACTGAATGGGAGCGATGGGG